TAAATTTAACATTTTTCAAAAGTTTAATGACAGCTTATCAAGCTAGAAAGAATTCCATTAGCTAAATCTTTGTTAAGTAAATCATTTTGAAACAAAATTAATAGTTTATAAATTATTTTGAAAGAAAAAATTATTTCTAGATTAAATTGAAATAAACCATATAATCAATAGACTATTTATTAAATTTAGCCCAAAATGTGCATATAAACACTTAACACTTGGTGAAAATAATCACTTGAAATTTCTTAGAAACTCCTAATTTAAAATAATGAAAAGAAAAGCAAAATAAGAATATTTAAGACAATTTCATGTAACTTTAAGTGATTATGTACACTTAATACAAACCTTCTTAGAAACCCCTAATTTAAAATAATGAAAAGAAAAGAAAAATAAGAATGTTTAAGACAATTTCGTGTAACTTTAAGTGATTATATACACCTAATATAAACCTTAGATCCTTATTTGCGTATCTTGAAATCTCAAACCTTAATGTACACTCATCTCAAATCACAAATATATCATATGCACATTTTAAAATTTCAAGTTTTTTATCCACCAAACCCTTAAACTACTAGTTAAAATATGATTTCCCCTTTTAAATAAAATTACCTTTTGTTCATGCTTTGATCCCAAGTACTCAAACTCTAACAAATCTTCCAACATCCCATAGCAATCCAAATAAGAATCAGTGCCTCTGGTTCCCATGATGCACATTCCAATATTCATTGTCCTTTTATTATGTACGTACTCGCAGTGTAAAATCAAAATCCATTTATAAGACATCCGTCGAAATCCATTTACAAGATATCTGTCGTAGCGTGACACTCACTCAAAAGGTCTTTTGGCCAATCAGATGAGGTGATCATCTGCTACATAATTGTCACTTAAAACCTACACGAAATATATATAGTGTTGGGAGAGGTAAAGAATAAAACAAAAAAACATCTTAATCATTTTTTAGTTGAGTTTTGGTTTTTATTTTCTTAATATTTAACAACTATTATTATATTTGGATTAAATTTAATAAATGGGTTTTTTCACCTGTTTCCTATGGTGCAATTCACAAATTAAATGGTTTGACCAAAATGCGAGTACATGGAGAGAGGTAATTAAAAAGGGCACAATACTTTTGAAATCCTGGATATGAATTTAGTATGTGCTCATGAGAAAGACCTCAAACAACTTCGTTCATCTTAGTAGAATCCTCCAATTACGAGCACGATGAGCTTGAAGGACTCATCTCATTGATAACATGCACGCTCTCCCTTTAATATTTGGATTTATATTTATTCTGATAAAACATGTGTCACTAAGAATATGCTTCTAAACATTTAGATAACTTCTGGCCAATATACCTTAATAGCAGCACCTTGGGCATCTAGCGGAATCCCATCTGAACTAACAAGGTCATCAAATCCCAGCAAACTTTTACTTCCACAACTACTAAAGATGAGAGATTGATTCCAGCCTCTACAAAATTGATTAAGAACACTATTACCAGGAGGATGGCAGTAAGCCAACATAAAAAGAAATGTAAGAGAATGTAAATTAATTGCCTAACATCAAAAGCACTCATCCAACAAAGTTATACCTGCATCACTTTCACCACCTAGAAGACAACATTGAAGAGCAACTAAGAGCTCCATGGACAGCTCCTCACCCCCTCTTCTCATCAACTTATACTCACCATGTTTTACCAATGCAATAACATTTTCTTGACTGGATAAGCTGCAAGGATAGAAAAACATGCAAGCTATAAGGTCTGTCTGAATACCTCATTGCCATTTTCTGGCCTCAAACTGTTAGTTCTGTATTTGTCAAAATTTTCTAGCATGAGGTCTTTCGCTTCCAGCTTGCTGCATAATATCTTTGTCAATTGATCATTTCCAGACTGGGAAAGCCCATTCCAGAGCTGTGACAAGGTACCTGAATCAGGAAGCATTGATCTATCCAGCATTTCTCCCAACAGTTGGACTGCTCCATCAAAATCTCCATTTTTGCATAAGGTAACAATCAGGATATTAAAAGTAAGCTCATTTGGATGGAATCCACACCTGATCATGCTTTTGTATAGTTGATAAGCACTGTCAGAGTTTCTCCTCACACACTGCCCTCTAATAAGGGCAGAAAAGGTTGATGCATTTGGAACTAAGTTCTCTCTATCAAGCTCTTTAACAAGATAAGCAGCTTTCTTAGTCTTACCACCCTTGCAGAGTCCCAGTATCACCGCATTATAAGTGAGTACATCAGGCTTAATCCCATTCATCAACATCTCCTCATAAAGCCTGTTGCCCATTCCACTATCACCCACTTGGCTGTATGCATTTATCAAAGTATTGTAAGTTACTCTTGTAGGACATACATTCAATGCTTTCATCTGAGAGAAAACCTTATTTGCCTCATTTAATTTTCCTTCTTTGCAGAAACCATGTATGAGAGTGTTAAAAGTAATGACATTTGGCTGCAACCCATGCTTCCCCATTGAGTTTTTAAGCTTCATGGCCAAGCCCAAAAGACCGTTTTCACAATGCCCTACAATCAATGTATTATAAGAGGCCACGGTAGGAATAATACCCACAGTCTCCATCTCTCTGAACATATCCACTGCTTTTTCAAGCTTCCCCAGCTTGCAAAATGCACACATAACCATGTTCAGAGTATACACATTAGGAGATATCCTACAACGCTGCATTTCTTTATAGAATGACAAAGCAATATCCACCCTATGTAAATCAAGTAATGAGCTCATATATGCATTGCATGACTCAACAGTAGGCAAAAATCCATAATCCTTCATTCTATGAAAAGTATCAGTCGCATTCCTAAACTTCTTCATATGGGCATAAGTCTTAAACAATGAATCAAACACACGAGGAGAAGAATCACATATCCTATAAGAACACAAAATTGCTTCGAAAAACTTAGCATGCAAATCCAACGAAGCTGATTCAAGAATACTCCTCAAAACAGTTTCTGCAGATTTGAATTTCCAATTTTTGGTAAGAATGTGGAGAAGGATTGAATGAGTCTCGAGGGAATGTGAACTTAAGTTTTTGGTTCTGACCCAATTGAAGAATTCAAGTGAAAGAACATGGTCCTTTTGGATCTTCAACAGAATGTGCTTGACTCTAAATGCAGTCAGGTGGGCAGATAGTGCATTGAGCTTATCCCAATCAGAGTGAACAATGTGGCTATGAGCAACATTAATGAAATCAAGATCTTGGCCTCTGGCTTCAGGGATTGTTCTGTGGGGTACTGGGATGGGATTCCAATTCCAATTTCTTCTCCCTGAATTCCCACCAATGGGGGAAGTGAGAATCCCTTTAACAGAATTAAGAAAAGTTGAAAATTGACGACCAGGGAGATTATTCATCCTTTGACCATGTGTTGGATGAATTTCAGTCTCTTTCCATGTATTTGAAGAAACAGTGCAAGATAAAGATGTTCTAGTCAAAGCAAATTTCAGTGATACTGAAGATCAACCTCTTCTAAACTCAAAGCAAATTTCAATGAAATCAAATAAAAGATCTGAATACAAACAAGCTTGGTTGATTAATTGCAGCATCTTGAGAAATGGGAACTCCCTGTTCTGCTGCTTCTTTGCAAACCTTCAACTTCAACCATAAGGAACCTTTTCATGTTTCATCATGACCACAGATCCAATGCCATCCTGACATACAAAATACCACATAAAGTCAAGTAGAAAAGGGGCAGGAGTGT